ACAGGTGTTTTTACATCACTCATATTTCCATGTGGTTATAAAGACTCCTGAAATGGCTTTTCTATTATATAAAATAGGATGTAATTGCGTGTGAGTAGTAACAAACACACCTTGAAAAAAATGTTCAGACAACAGCCACCCATTCATTTCTCATAAGACTGCAGGTCTGCCTGGTGCTTATCAGCCTAGTGCTTATGCTGGGATGTTTTCATTCATACATGTGATTTGCTAATTTGCCTGGACCAGTCTGGCCCAAGGTGGCCCTGTTCACAATCCTGATGGTTGAGTAGTTGTTGGCTATGGTGCTGGGTTTAACTGGGTCACATCATCACTCAGTGGCTGGCCTGAGCTTACTTACATGACAATAAGTAGATTCCTAGAGTATGAGTTCGAAGGCATTTGAGGCCTCTTGAGGCCAACGCTTAGAAATAACATGAAGTCAGTTCTACAGCATTATGTGGATCAAGGTAAATTACTGGGCTGTTTGTATTGAGGTGGAGTGAGAGAGAGATTGTATTTGTCTGTGGGGTTGCAGAGTGACACTGTAAGGCTTATGCACAGGGTAGGGAAGAATTCATAACTTATTTATGTATTCTATAGGTTGAATTTAGGCCCTCATGCATGCAGATAAGAGCACTACCAATGGGCTATATCCTTAGCCCCTAGGAATGTTTTTTGTACCAGGAATTGAATTCACAACTTCACGCTTGACTGGCAGGCGCTTACACAGCTGAGCTAAATCCTTGGCCCCTAGGAATGTATTTTTAAGCTTCCTATAAGATGCTTCAGGTGAAGAGGCATTCTCACTATCCCAGGAGTTGGATGTACTTTTTCAGCTCTGAACATTTTTTTTAAGTTACTTCTTCTGGCTCAGAAGTCTCTCTGTGCTTCTACCCTGGCTGTTCCAATTCCATCCCTCTGCAAGGCCCATTTCCAAAACTAATGAACACGTACGTGAGACTTTTCCCTATCATTTCAACCAAATGCAGTTTCTCACTCCTAAGAAACTGAAATGCTGCCACAGACTTTATAAAGCCTATCAATTCTGAACAATTTGTGACCATAGGTATAGTTCTACGCAATTGAAAATAATCTTTCTCATTTTAGGATATAAAATGACTATGATTTAGAGTGATCGTTTCTATTAAATCGAATCTGCTATGATTTCTTCATTCACTTTGCCGTAAGAGAATTCTGGTATTCATGCTCTTGCCCATAACTTTACCAAAATTACTAAGTACAATTTTTCCTATTAACCTTATAGTTACTTTAGAGGGTAAAATTTCTCCCAGGCTCCCGAGTATATTTTTCAGATTACTTTGAGTTTTAATGTTTAATATGTTAGAAGATTCTAAATACACTTTAAAGATTTATGACTTAAAGAACAAAAACTGCTGTACCTGGATATGACATCTATGATTTCTGTTTCTGATACTATCATACGTTTGTTTGAAAATCACGAGAATGCTTGTTTTATTGGCTCCCTGCATAGCTCCTAAATTCAGCTGAAGTCCTTTGTTATAAGATAACCCATATGGAGATATTAAGTGTTCAGTGTGAATAACGCTTATAGTCAGTGCTTCTAGCATATAGGGAGATAAATGAGTTCAGGAGATGCCAGTTATGTCCTGTCCCAAATTAAATGTGCCTATCTACAGTTTATATGCTTTAAAAAAATAGTGTTTGTGAGAGAGTAAATCAGTTTTATTCCTTACAGGCTAGAAAGTAAACAGCAAGGTTGATGACAATGTAGTATCTTCTCTCTGATGAGAGAATTTCCAGATGATGCAAATGTTTTGAGGCAGAGTGAACATTCCCTTGCAGTGCTCATTTTGAAGCAAGGAAGCTAAAATGCAGGGACTTTAGTGATAATAAGATTGCTAAGCATTTAAGAAAAAAAGCCCTACAATAAATGAAGATCAAAATAAATTACATTAGAATGAAGAAAAATTAATTTATATGTGCACAAATGCACACACTTATACTCATTTCTGCTCTATTCATATTTAACACCATTTGGGTTTTATTTTATTTTTTTATTTTGTGGTCTTTTTGAGACAGGGTCTCCCTGTGCAGTTCAGGCTGGTCTTGAGCTTACTTTGTAGCCCACATTGGTCTTGAATTTTCAACAGTCCTGCCTCAGCCTCCTGAGTGCTGGGATTACAAGCATGCATCACTATGCCCAGCTCTTAGGTTTCAAGATCTTCTCATTTTGCTTTTCTATCACAATTTGATTTTTTGAAAAATAGAAATACTCTCTACCTTCAATTAAATTTCTAAATTATGAGTTCTTCTTTTGTGAGACAGATTCCTTTGATTGTTTAATAAAAGCAAGTTTAAGTGTAACACTTTTAAAAACACAAAATAGATGATATGAGAAAGAAAGTCAATTACATTGAAACACAACTATCAAAATGCTGGAAAAATTAATTTATTATGGTGTCATACAGTGCTTATGTTAAATAAGTTCTAGTGGCAGTCTAATAACTAACGTGGTTGCCAAGTAGTTAGAGATTAATAACAATTCGAGCGCACAGGACCTATTATAATTTAACCCTCAAATAGCAGTGATTTCTGAAGGCATCAAAGTCTCAAGTTTTTCTAAAACTAATATATTTTCTTTGGGAGCAATTAAAGATGTGTATTTTTCCTTATACAAGTTCTTGGACCACACGATAAGATTTGTCACTTTTGTGTCTTTTAAGAATATCCAAGTGTTCCAGGGGTGAGTGTCCCCTTCCACATTGACCCTGGGCCTGGTCATGCGACTTCCTTTGGTCAACTGGACTGAACATAAGCAACTGTGATTCCAACAGCAACTCTAGCATTCTGGGAGGCTAGTGCAGAAAGACTGCAAGTTACAGCACAGTCTGGGCAATTTTGTGACTTAAGGAGGCTCTCAAAATAAGTATATAAAAAAAAAAAAAAAAAAGAATGGCGGTGGGGATGGGAATGCAGCTCAGTGTAGGATCTGGGTTCAATCCATAGTACTGTACAAGGTCAAGCCAAGCCAAGCCAAACCAAGCCCCAGTAACACCAGCAGAGGTTTGTGCTCTGGTCATTTCCCCATAGGAAAAAAATATGGTCTAATATTTTTAAAGATGAGAGCGGTACCATCTTTTCATCAGTCCTGGTGAACTGAACCCCAGCCCAATAATTTAGGCGAGATCCACAACCTAGGAAATCCTGAGAAATAATGAATTTTTTTGTTGTAAACAGCTTAAGTTAGGGCCATTTATTATCCAGCTATTTACTGCTACATGATATGGAATGTAGAATGCTGTTACCCACTGGACTTTTAGAATCCCATGGATGCTAGGTTTTCAAAAACTCCCAGTTTGCTTGGGGATCCTTTAATCCTCGCTCTTCAAAGCGTGGGGCGTGGCTAGGCAGCGCGCCTGTGCCCAGGAGATGGCTTCACCCCAGAACTACTGAATCAGATTTTGCAGTGCTACAAGATCCCGAGGTGATTTCTATGGCAAACAAGTTTGTAAAGCATGGTAAAGCGTGCACATTAAAGTTTGAGAACATCAGCCAGCCTTTCACAGTTCTTTTCAAAAACATTTTTCGTTCTCCAAAAGGAAATATTTTCTGCTGAGTGCTTGCCCTGTTAGACCCATGGCGTCATGGAGACACTTCATAAGTGTTCGGCTCACTGAGCTATACTTGTGACCGTCCCGCGCACAGGTCCTTAGTTGCTTTTAGGGAGTGTTGGGACCCTGCCTCGCGGGAGGAAGGTCCGCGAGGTTTGTCCCTACGCAGCCCCCTTATAAGGTCAGCCCCGCCCTCTCCCCGTCTCCTTGCGCTGCGCGGGTTTCTTCGCGGCTCCTGAAATCACTCTACTGCTAATGCGCATGCTTGATCCACCACCGGCTTCGGAATTCCGCACTCCGCGTTTTCTAGCTGCCCACTGGTGGACAGTGCACCCAACTCTGTGCTGTCCTTGGGGAATAACACAAGGTTTTCAGAGTTCAGGAAACGAAGCGATTGCCTATTCAGACTGATCGTAGAGTTCTGAGGATGGTGATGAAGTAATGACTTTTGGGCTACGTGCTTGCAGGCTTAGCATCTAAATGCATAAACTAAGGCCATGCAGTTGTCCAGATCCTCAGGCGAGACAGGTTTAGACGCGCCAAACTCTGCAGACTCGGGATCCTGGGCTCTGCCCCCAGATTGGCTTCCCGGGGCGCCAGCCTAGGCCTGTCTGGCAGCTGGAAGGGCAGCCGCCTAGTGTTGGGTTGGCCAGAAGGAAAAGAAAGGCAGGAGTAAGACTGAGCTGAAGCAGCTCATAGGGATTCATTTAACTTCAAGGGGTTCTGTGACTCGCAGGTGGATTCCTGGGCTGCGTGGAAGCCAGGCAGGAGCTCACCAACACTGGACACCTTAAATCCCTTGTGCTTAAACCGAAATTGCAAACTTAACAAGAATGCAGACACTCCCACGAAGAGCTGACTGCAACCAATGTGAGAACATTCCCAGTTTGAGTTTATAATGCCCAGTACCCTTTTTGTTTTTTTGGTGCCCCGGTTGCGAAACACGCTAGAAACTTCTTACACCAGCGGAGAAGGCCCAGTAGAGTTCAGCACTGGGTTCGGAGCCTCATTTGTTCATCTGTAAAATCGATGAGCTGCTAATTCACGCACAGCGGATAGCCTAAAATTCAGCGACCCTGTCCTCCCAGGTTTTTTTGGGAGATGAGGCTGTGTTTAGTTTTCCTGCAATCAGCGCACCAGGCTGCCCTGCCTGACCTGGGGTGTAGCCCAGGACTTGCACTGCCAACCAGGCAGCTCCAGAGGCAACCCTGGCCCCGCCCCTACCCTCCTGGTCCCGCCTCTACCCTCTTGGCCCCGCCCTCTATCCCCCCCGTCCGGGTCTTTCGGCCCGCCAAGTCACCATCAAAACCAGGATAATGGATTTATCCGTGGGAGGTTGTGGAGCCGACCAGCGCATGCTCAGTGGCCCAGCAGGTGGGGCGGCTGCCCGACTCCTTGTTCGGCAGTGCTCAGGGGCGGGGGCAGAGGGTAGTAAGTGGGCGGGGGCCGCGGCCCGGACGCCTGAGTCGCGGCGGTAGCTGCGTGCCGGCCTGGTGCGATCCGCCCGTGTCGGGCGGGATGAGCTATGGCATCCGTCAAGGTGGCCGTGAGAGTCCGGCCCATGAATCGCAGGTGAGTGGGGCCGTGACCCCCACCCATCCACTGTCCCCTGGAAAGTCAGCCGCAGATCCTGGGCGAGCACTTGGCCCACCCGGCCCGCGCCTGGCCCCGGAGCCAGCAGTACTTCGGCTTTGCTGCCCCTGGCGCACAGCCCTGGAGAGGGCCGGGCGGAGCGCGCACTGTCCCAGCGCAGTGACTTCGAACTTGCTTATCCCCTTCCTTCACAACCACCCAGGGCTCATCCGTGAAGATGTGGCCGCTCCAGGGGACACAAGAGGGGCCCAGCAGCTGTCAGGCGCGCTCCTCCCGGGGCCAGCTCCGGAGTTCCCTAACTATTAACCCTGTCACTGTGAATCTCTGAACCGTGATTTGCAGTCCCTGGATGTTGACCCCCAGCTGGTAATCCTTAATTCCTGACTTCTGGTTAAAAGGGGGAAGGAGGAAACTTGAACAAAGTTTTGACTCCTAGAGAAAAAGTCAAGGATGCTACACACATGTTTGAAATAGTGCTGATGTGAAGAGGGGAAAAGTTATGATCACCTTTAAAATCTAATCTTGTTATATGTCTCTACAAAGTAATGCTTTTCAGAAGGGTTCCACTCTTCCCTCACTCAAAAATAATCTGTGCTTCCTTTTGGGTGACCTTTGGCAACCCATTTAGAAAGATGCTTTGAAACAATTACTTTTAAAATTGGTTTAACTTTATAAAGAACGAAGTGGTTCTAACTAGGATGTCCAAATTGATGGGCGCAGGTCACACAAAGCCATTTATCTGTTTTTTGACGTCTCAGCCAGTTATTGGTCTTTGAACTTAGCATGTGATCATTCTCCTTTAGTCATGCTGTCAGCTGATGGAGGTATCAATAGCAGCTGATTAGGGCATCTGAAAACCCTAAAATCAAGATCGTTCCAGGCCTTTATATGATACACCTGAATCTGTTTTTCTGTTGACAAGGAGGGACGCATTTTTCTGATTTGTAACCAGTGAAAACAAGTGGTTTTAGAAATCTGTGATTTTTCAGGTTACTTCTAAAGGGGTTTAGGGAAAGAGCTTGACTTTTTAAATCTTTGTGGAGTTATTTATGTTTATTTGTACACTCAGTCATACAGAGTAAATAGACAAAGTCATTTTGCTGTTTCAAAAGAATTACTTTTTCACCTTTGGAATAATTTGAGCACATACTACAGAATTGTGTTGGATAACTTCTTAAAGCATTTATTAAGCGTCTTTCAAGGGCAAAGCATTGTGCTCAGTGCTATCTGGAGGGGATGTTGAGTTGGACTGGTGTAAAAGTGTCCTTTTGGACTCCACTGTCTGGTGAAGGAGGTGGTTTTTTTTTTTTTTTTTTTTTTTTTTTACATGACACTCATGAAACTGGGCCTATGGGAGAATGCTGTGAGTTCATTGTATTCCAGTACATATCTTGAGCCCTGGTTGGTGAAGAGGTGACAGGCCACAATGCACAGCCCAGGTGTTTTGAGCAGACTGATATTATCTGGAACTGGCCCATCCCTTTCTTGTCCTGCATTCTTTGTGCCCTTGCTGGAAGAATTCAGTCAAGATGCATTAAAGTAGCTAAGCTAAGCCTTCTGCCTTCAAGCAGAAGGTGGGCACAGAGTGCGAGCTTGAATACATTTTTTACACAAACAGAAGTTACTCCTGTGGCTCATAGAACTAGGATAATTAGGATGCTCATCAACATTTTAGTTTGAAATTACTTTGGAATTTACTTTGGAATGGCAGAATATCTTCCTGTCCTTTTTAGATGGTCAGTGTTTTCTCAGAGGCTTTAATCATGTAAGGAAGTTATGAAAAGTAATTTAGGAAAGGCAGATTGTTCATTTAAACTAGCTCCCAGCCCAGGGCAGGTGGGTCTTTGATGAACATATCACTGGGCTGTTGGCACTCACAGTCAGGAATGCTGGCATGGCCTGTTTTGGAGTGAGATGGCCAGGTAGTGAGGTATCGGAAGGACTATGACTAGCGTGTTCCATTAGAATGTCATTGTGCTCTGTGGGATCACTGTGGATGAGACCTGAGGAATTATTATCATCTATTATAAGCAGATGTATTTGTGACTTTACTCAACTGGCAATGCATGCTCTTTGGGAACCCCCTCTGCATTTGTCCCTCAGACTCACTGATGCCTAATGGTGTATGTTTGTGCTTGCCAGACAACTCTGGTGGCATCAGAGTCAGGACAAGAAGTCAGGAAGCAGTGGTCTGAGCCACAAGTGGGCATGGGAAGGTGGGCTGGATACACCAAGAGACTCAACAGGACTTGGCAGCTTGTTGGATGGGGAGGAGCGGGGAGGGAAAGTGTGCAGAGTCACTCACTGATGTTTGTTGCTTTGAAAGGTGGACTGCTTAGGGAGAGTAGATAATAAGCTTGGTGTACTCTCTCTCAAGTAAGTAGTGGCCCATGAGGCACAGTGAGAGTCAAGGACAAATTCAGTGTCCGGAGCAGAGTAAATTTTCCATGCGTATCTGACTCTGTTATCAGAAGTGTGGGATGAGGCCGAGCTCTGTGGCCCATGCTTGTAATCTGAGCACTTGAAGGATCAACAGTTTGACCCAATCAAACCTGTGCAACTCAGTGACTTAGTGAGACCCTTTCTCGAAATAAAAAAGGAAAAGGGCTGGGGATATAGCTCTGACCCTGGGTTTAATACCCATTATTAAAAAAAAAAAAAAAAGGGGAAACACCCATCTCGGAGCTAGAAGTGTTCAATAGAGGGTTGGAGACCTGGGTTTAGGTCTCTGATGACTCTAGGGCTGTCATTTGGAAACCTTTTGCATATAGACAGCAGTGGAAGAATGTTAGGTGAGAAGTCAGGGAATGGACATTGAGTCTGCTTCTTCAGGGTCCCACAGGGAGAAGAATGGCTTGCTGCCTAGGGGAGGACCAGCGCAGCAGATTGACAGATTGCGTGTGTGGGGACCTAACATAGTATTCATGGGAGAAGAGTCCATGCGAGGTGGAGGTAGTTGGTGATGTCACATGCTACCAAGATAATGATATGATGGTTTGTCTTAGAAATGAGGGTCCTGATAACCTTTCAGGGACCAGTTGCGGGAGAGACAGTGATCTGGAAGTTGGCAGTGAAGTAGGAAAAAGGGATACAAATGTCCAACTAAAAATACTTGACCTAATTCAGGGAAAGATATGCAAGTTGTAATGGCCATTAGAAGCAGTTTTACCAGTGAGATTGATAAATATTAAATGAGTATCAGTTTCTTGTGAAACAGACACTTCCAAAATTGTCCAAAGAAGCATGAAGGGTTAAAACTTCCGAAACATTCATTTCGGAAAAATTGACAGTAGCTATTAAGATTTGAATTAAACCCTTTGGGCTGGCAATTTTATGTTTAAGAATTTATGATATGTATTATATTCCTACCTACCAAGATATAAGTGTGAAAATAACTGTTGCCTCATTGTTTGTAACAAAAAAATTATTAATGACTAGAATATAAAAATATGGAGAATTTGTTAAAATTATGACCCAGGTCATTTGGTGGAGTTCTATATAGCACTTAGGAAGAGGTGTTGAATCCTAAGATAACCGAGAAAAATAAGGTACCCACACATACTGATGTAGTGCGTGGACAACAGTTGTGTGTATGTGTGTTAAAAATGGACACACCCAAAGAGCTGTGTCTATATAGAATGATATATATGGAATGATCTATAGGAACTGTTCTCTTTTTTCAGAATACAAATGCTTCCCACCAAAGCTTGGTGATTTTGTTCTTACCGCCTTATGTCTTGTGTGGAAGAAGTAGTGTACTAGGTGTGATTGTGTGGGATGCCTCTGTGAATTGTATTGTGTAGGCCTAATAGCAGCTGCCCTTATTGAGAGTCTGCAGGAGCCTGGTGTACAGAATCTACTCTTTGCCAACTATTTTAGCAGACTTACTGTGTCATTTTATGTACAAAGATTTATTTCTCCTGCTTCCAGAGGCTGGCAAAACCAAGATGAAGATGCTTGCAGGTAGAGTTAGGGCAAGGGGACCTCCCCACTGGGTCCACACAGCATCCCAGGGGCCAACTCCTGGGGCCTGTTTTACCAGAGTGAAGGTGATGATTTCAGGAGGGCACTGCTGGTCAGGACCAAGTCATTTCCTGGGGACCCCCAATCCCTTAATAACATTGTGTTGGGGGGTAAGTTCCATGCAAACTATAGCATATAGTTCTTAAAATGGATGAATAATTAGCAGAAACAATTTTGTTAGCAATTTTATGGGCAGAAGTTTTAACAATTTATTCTCTGAGATTTTTGTTCTTATGTCTACTCTCGTAAAATAAGGCCCCCCTTTGTTACAGTTTTACAGGTTTTAATTTTTTTTTCCTCTGAAGAGACAACTGAATAGCAATTTGGTAACTAATTTGTCCATTTCTTGTTAGTTCCACTTCCTTGTTTTTTTCACGGACACAGTACATGACCCTTTGGGTCATGTGACACTCATGTTGGCCTGCTCAGTGCTAGAGGGCAGGGGTTTAGGGCAGACTGCCTGGGTTTAAAGTTTTGGCTGTCATTTGTGAACTGAGTAAATTTGAGCAAGAGACTCTCATTGTTCCAACCTTCAGTTTTTGTGCCTCTAAAATAGTGTTAATAATCACTACATATCTTACAAATTATTATAAATAAAGCAAAGTTGTTTTTCTAAGTGTTTTTGACTTTGACCTTTGTACATAAGTTAAGGATTCATGAGATATTTACATTCATGGTGCATAGTTCCCTCATTTTGCATCCTGTCACATTGTGTTGTTAGAATGCTACTTCGTGATCATTGCATTGATTTCAGGGTGCACAGTCAAGTTGCGGTTGGTAGTGTGAAAAGCACATGAGGGTTTCAAATGGGAGAATGTGTGAGGATCAAGCACAGGGCTCCACAGGGCCTGGCACCTAGCAAGGGCACCATTATGATTACTTACTGTTAAGCTGGGAGTGTAGTTTGGTGTCAGAGTGCTCGCCTAGCACGTCCCAGGTCCGGGGTTTACCCACTG